GTTTGCAGCAACAGAAGTGATTCTAGCTAACTTAACTAAAAAACAACTTGCTGAAAGGTCATTGGTTTGTCCGCAGAATTGATGAGAAGGCTGGACACCTGAGCTTGAACTAGGCAGTGAGAACAATCCCACACAGCCACGACTACAAGAATGCTGACTCTATAGGGGATTCAATCTCACTTTGTCTTCACTATTGTTACTTACTTGTGATTCTTGAATACATTCATGCTTTTCTGATATTCTGTGAGATGAAACAGGAAGTACACTTGAAGTCATTGTGCTGCATACTGAAATAAGATGTCTCAAAGAAAATAACTTGTGCAATTTTCAAATTACAAACAGCACTTATTGCTTCTTTTAACTACTTAAAAACCTGGAACTATATCTATTTTAACATCTGTTTAAAAAGTCTAAATGTATTTTCCCTCTATTACTCATAAAATGTTACCTGCCATCCCTCAGTTACACACACACCCCCAAACTTCTCGGCGTTTTTAAAAAAGAGCTTTCTTTCACTGCCTTTTATCCCTGATAGATCAAAAAGCATATTTAAAAAATATATACACACACACACACACACACTTTTTATTGATTTCAAAGAGGAAGAGAGAGGAGAAAGAGATAGAAACATCAACAATGAGAATCATTGATCAGTTGCTTCCTACACACCCCCACTCTGGGAATAGAGTCTGAAACCCAGGCATGGGCCCTTACACAGAATCAAACCATGACCTCTGGTCACACCGGCCAGGCAAGAAGTATATTCTTAATGAATGACACTACTTATCAAGAAAAGAGTCAGACCAGAGCTTTAACGACACTATTATCGATGCTACCTTTCCAGTAGAAAAAATAAAAAATAAAAATAGATTTAATTCACTTTCATACCTGGCTTACTTTCAAAGTACCTGGCTTACTTTCAAAGTAGTATATTCCTTCACTTCTGAATCATTTATCAAATCAACAGTATTTAGCAAGTGACGACTGATATTTTAACTGCTAAGTTGCTTTTGACATTCTACTCAAAATAAATACTAAAATGTATGTTATTAACTGTGTTTAGATTTTTGCACTATCTGTGGGTTCCTCTCACAACTGAACCCCAAAACAGTGGGTTTTCTTCTCCCTATCCCTCCTCAAATCCTCTCTACTGTAGAGTCTAAAACAGACGGACTAAGGAACTGAAGGTCTTGCATTTATAGAGGAAGACTGGGTGGATTTTAAATTATAACCAACTAATTAAGATGTAGTGAAAAATCAATTATACCAATTAATAATATCATGTTCAGAAGAAAGGGGGAGCAATTCACCCTAATTATATTAAATTTAAGAAGTTGGAAATAAAGCATTTGTAAACTTGTTATCAAGTACACAAAGTAAGAGAATACAGTCTAATTTCTAAAAGCAGACTCCACTCAAACATCCTTTTAGTAAAAGAAACAAAACACTTTATTTCCATTTATGTATGACAAAAGTAACACTTCTATTAGGATTCCTTCAATAACAAACTTTCTTCAGAGTACAAATTTGGAAAATTAATTGGTTATAATTACAATAAAGCTAGTGCTCCAACACAATTTCTAATCTGAATTATCACAAAGATAAATCAAAGCTTTTAGCAAAATTATGTGTAATTAATCAAAAGTCAACTCCCCCTTCAAATTAGTCTTGAGATTAAATGCCATTATTCAGTGATAAAAACAATGAAAACAACTGTAAAGAGCAATAGTTCACACAGAAACAGCTGGTCATTTAGCAGAAGTTCACTGCATACTTTGACAAAAGTTGCAGTGTAGTGTTACATTCATCCCACCTGCTACACAACGAAAACTGGCTCTCCTACACAACATCCATATTTGAGAAATGTTGCCATAGCTGACTGTACAGATATTAAATCCTATCCACACTAAAGAACTCAATAAAATTCATGCTAAGTACTTAAATACTAAAACATTTACATGCATTTTGTATCCACGTGATTTTTAAAAAGTACTTCAACTTCTCATGATAGTCTTGCAACAAAGCTTCTTTTGAGAGCGCTGACCCATAAATTTAGGAAAACACTCCATTAGAAGATGCTTTCCTTTCAAATTTTATCCCTTTCAGAATTTTTCTAGAGGCACCTCAATGAACCAGAAAACAGCTTGCCAGTACCTCCAGCTGTTTTGACACCACTTTAGGAGGAAAAAAAGGCAGATCAGGAAACAAGTTGATTACAGAACTTTTTAGTAAGTTCTGGCTCATTTACTAGGTAAACCTAAGGGCCCAGAACAAGTCTCCAACCAATTAGCATTACCTCATCAGGCTGGCAGCAGTAGCCAGGCCAGTCTTCCCAAGTTTGCTGGCATTTCCAGAGGGGGTTAAAGCAATAATAGGAGGCCTTCGCTTGGGTTAGGGACTTTTATCTGAAATTCTTTTTCTTCTGTCTCTATCTGATCTCTTTCCCCCTCCCCCTCCTACAATTTTAGCTTATGGCCAACCACCCTCACCACAGAAATCCTATAACTTCAGCATACAAAAAGCAAGTTATCCAGAAACTAGAAGCACCCAAGCCACTTTTTTTAAATTAAGGCACAAAAGTTCATCCAAAAGGTAACAAATCATCAATGATGAGGAAGGCACAGCATTCTCTTTAACCTCTAAAGGAAGATCCCAATGTGTGTAACATCTTCTATTTAATACAACTGAAAAGTACAGTTGGGGCAAACGTAGGTTTACAGTTGTTAGCATAAAAAATAATACAATATCTATGTATATAAAAGCCTAAGCCACCCTTAAGACCTGAGGAGGGGACAGCTGGCTGGTAGCTATGACGTGTACGGACCACGAGGGTGCTCAACGCAGGAGCTGCCCCCTGCTGGTCTGCAAGCTCACCCTCCCCGATCCCCATCAGGGCTGGGCAAGGCCTAGGGGCCCCCACCTGTGCGCCAATTCGTGCCCTGGGGCCTCTAATGAATAAATACAGGGGGGAGGGGGGGAAACAACAACTCTATTTCGCGTTACTCACAATTGTAAATCTATTTTGGAAATATATTTGTTTAATTCTTCAATGTGAAGGGTTTCTTACTTCTCATTCAAATTAGCCAGAACTTGAGCAAACTACTTAGTAATCAAGACTTTTCTTTGCCTTTACCTAGATTTCCTCATTAGAATCTGTGTTCCTCTCAGAAGTTCCTTTCTACAGTACCTTCCACTATGACAGAACGCAGGCTGACTTACTAACAAATGATCTTTTTTTTTGGACGGGGGGGAAAAAATCTGATCTTCAATTCTCCCTTGATTCCCTGTCTTATGTATTTACGTGCAAATCTGCAAGGGGAGGAGGTGGAACGGCTGTTCTTACGAAGCCTGGAAGAAGCGGGCATTCAATAAACGCCTGTGAGCACCGAGTCCTCCGGTAACAACTCGGGCCATTCCAAAACACTGGCTCCCCCCCCCCCCCCCCGGGTCAACCGCCAGTTCCCGATCCCAGCCCGCGCTGGCCTCGCGGTGGTAACACGAGCCATGGCCGCTCAAGGAGACCCAGGATGAGGGCAGCAGGTCCCAGGCTGCCGGCCCGGAAACCTAGCCCATCCCACCCCGGCAACCGACCTCTTCGCCCGCAGATCCGAGGGGGCAAGAGCCTCCGCCCAATCCCGCAGACAGACAGCCCGGCGTCAGGACGCGGGGACGCGTGCGCAGAACCCGCCTCCCATCCTCCCGGCCCCTCGGCTGGGAAGGGTAACAATACTCCCTCAGAGAGACAGGCAGGGCAGGCGGGGGGCGTCCGGACGCGTCGGCGCGCTCCCCAGAAGCCTTGTCGCGCGACCCAGCGTAGGCCGCCAGCCCAGCGCCCCCCGGTGCGCAACCGTCTCCCCGGAGCGCGCCCGCCCGCGCGCGCCGCCACTACTCGCGCTGACAGGGTCTCCTCACCTGAGCCGGGCTCCGCCCCCCTCCTCGCTGGAGAAAGCAGTGACCCTTCTCCGACCCGACTCCTCAGTGTCGGAGGAGGCGGGAACGTCCAGGCTGGCGTCTCCGTGATGGGATTTTCCTACCCCTTCCGCCCACCCTCCCCGCCCACCCCGCTCTCGTGCCCCAGCGCCTACAGCCCGTTGGCCACCTTACTCTGAGAGCACCGCGGCGGCAGCCGACCTCAAACGGAAGTGACGCGATGCGATAGCGCCTATTCCTCCCCGCCCCTCCGGACGAACTGTAACCAATCAGCAAAGAGAGGGGCGGGGCGTGGCAGGAGAGCAACCAACCAACACGCGGAATCCGAAAGAATTTCCTAAGCTCCGGAACATTGGCCAATCCCTTGTCCCAGGAATCTCGTTGTGTTTACTACCGACCGAATCCGCGAGCGCGGTGACCAATCACCGTATTCCTTACAGCAGGTAACACTGATATCCAACGCCTTGAAGGCGGGATTCATCACTAAGCGGCTTTGGGTTTGGCTGTAGAAAAGCTAATGTGTGTGGCAACCAATCAAGACCCGTTGTGGTTGGGGCGAGAGGGTTTTTCTGTCTCACTAAATATATTGATTTTTTACAGAGAGGAAGGGAGAGAGAGAGAGTTAAAAACATCGCTGAGAGAGAAACATCGATCAGCTCTTTTGCACACCCCTTACTGGGGATGTGCCCGCAACCAAGGTACATGCCCTTGACCGGAATCGAACCTGGGACCCTTCAGTCCGCAGCCAACGCTCTATCCACTGAGCCAAACCAGTTAGAGCAATAAAAACATTTTTTAAAAATTGATCAATATAATATACAACGTTAAAAGAACGAAGGGGGGGAAACACCCACGCCTCTTCGCGCTGAGGGGCGGGGAGAGCGATGGGCGGGGCGGAAACGGCGCCCCGCCCCGTTCAGAGCGAGAGCGCAAAGGGGGCGAGGCCTTGTGGGGGCGGGGCTACACGGCCGGCGACGTCCCGCCCCTTCCGGCCCTCCGCGCTTCCTCCGCGTGTGACATACGGGCTGGTGGCTGATACTTAATTCCTGGGCTTAGCGACCGGAGGGGATATGGCGGCGGAGGTGCTGCCGAGTGCGAAGTGGCTGTACTGTGGAGAGCCCGACGAGAGCCAGAGAGCTGTGCTGGGTAAAGCCTGCGGAGCCGGGGCAGAATTCCCCCCCCCCCCGTGCTTCCCCTTCTGTCTCCGTACCTTAGAGCCCTCCCGCCGGCCCCTTTCCACCTGGGCCAAGACTCTCCCCCTGCCCCCCATCACCCGCCTTAGTGTCCACCGCTACTTGGGTTCCCGCCAGAGCTCCTCCGTCATCCCACCATCTTTCCGTTACCACCCTTATACCTGGATGAGGACATCCCGGTCAACCCCTCCCCAAGGGATTTACCCAGGACTTCGTCATGCTCTCATTCACCAGGTCTTAGAACTGCTCCGTTTCCTTATCTCCACTGGGCAGGGATACCCCCTGTTTCTCTAGGTCTGGACGAGGCCGCCTCGGTCGGACCCCTTCCCCTAGTTATTCCCTCATGTCGCAGCCCCTCCACACTCCCTTCACCTCCCCAGCCCACTCCTCCCAGTGGACCGGGAGCTCCTTCAGTCCCACTCCAGGTCAGGACCTTGCCATCCTCATCCTCCAACCACTCCTTCTAGTCCCAGTCCAGTTCCTCCCCATTCTACAACGTGATTCTTTCTGATTGCCTCTCACTCTTTGGCCATGACCTTACAGTTCAGTTCTCCAATGGGAAGCTGCAGAATCCAGATAACATGCGCTTTAGCTTGTACAAGAACAAGGACTCCGCGAATCCCAGGAAGAAGAGCCAGCGGATCCTGGTAAGGGCTGCAGTGGCCAGTTGCCTCCACTCTGCAGGCCTCCGTTCACCTCTTAGGGGTGGTGGGTGTGGGAGTGAGTGAGAGAGGAAAGAGAGGGGAGATAGCAAAGGTGCTTTTAAAGAACTCTTCTGATCCTCAGCAGGTTGGGGTGTGGGGATAGCCTCCATTCAGTTTCGTACTTTTGGTGAACTGATGGCCTTTCATTCCTAAGTTCATGCAACAAGCATTTATTGAGCGCCTCCTGTGGCCCTGTGCCATAAGCTGCTAGGGAAACAGCTAAATCAGACCTGGTCCCACTCTGTGGGTTTCTCAGCCTTGGCGATTTTGACCCAGATAATTCTTTGTTGTGGGGGCAGCCTTGAGCGTCTCAGGATGTTTAGTAACTTCCCTGGCCTCTACCCACTGTATGTCAATAGCACCTTCTCGTTGTGACAACCAGAATGTCTGAGGTTCCCAGATGCCCCTGGAAGGGAGATTTCCTCGGGTTGAGAACCAGTGCTCTAGAGAGTTCTTTGGGATTTTACCATGAATGGTAGAGAGAACCCTAGAGAGGTGAGAACTGGATGTGAGGGACAAGTAGACAACGCTCAGGGCCTGAGGGAGGGAAAGTACAAGGCAGAGTCTAAGTCTCTGCTCGCCAGAATGTCTTCCTGGGGAGGGTACATGGAGCTGAGCTTTAACGGATGGAGGAGGGTTTGACAGCTGAGGCTCAGTATTCCAGGTGAAGAGGATAACAAGGACGAACATAGAGAAACAGCAAAGCATGGCTGTATTTGAGGAATGAATCAGCCATTCCCTAAGAGCGTGTAAGGAGCAATCGTAGGAGAGGTGGGCAAATGGGTTTAAGAAGGGCTTCAACTTCCAACCCTGGCGGTTGCCTGCAGGATCGTTTGATTGCATGTCTCTAAGCGAGGAGAGCCCAACACCTCTCTCCCAAGTCCTGTGGTGCCGATTTCCTAAGATCTTTTCAGACCAACTAGAAACCAGCACTGTCTGGGGCTTCCTTTTCTAAAGCCCTCTTGTCTTTCCCGCACGGGCACCCAGATTTACTGAGCGATGATGGGGCTGGATCGTCTCCCAGAGAGTCTCTAGTTCCAATCCACCGGGCTTGGATTCTAAAGCTTTTGGAAAATGTGGGAAAGAGAGGTAAGATGCTTAATACCTTTCAACACTGGTTGTAATGGAGCTTTACTCTGCATTTTAGGCAGCTGAAACAGACAGACTTTCCTATGTGGGAACCAATTTTGGGACTGGAGCACTCAAATGCAACACTCTGTGCAGGTAGGGACAGGGGAAGGGACAGCTGGAAGGGGAGGGGAGTGGAAGTGGCCCTGGCTCTGCTGTTCCCAGCCTTTAAGGGCAGTGGGGAGATCTAGCGAGGTTTACCAAGTGTCTGTGTTCCCGGACCCAGGGGCCCTCACACCAGCATGTAGATGTTCTTTTTAGGGGTGTGTTGTTGGTTTTTTTTAACATAGACTTTCTTGAAAGAAAGTTGACTTGCTTTTGTTGAATTTCCTAAAAACCTCATTTAATGGTAATATTTAAATTTTTTTAAATTATGATATAATTGACATATGACATTATATTAGTTTCAGGTAAACAATATAATGATTAGATCTGTATATAATAAAATAGCCACTTAAATAAGTCTAGTTAACATCCATCACCACACATAGTTACAAATTTTTTTTCTTGTGATGAGAACTTTGAAGATTGATTCTCTTAACTTTCAAATATACAATACAGTATTAACTACAGCCACCATACTGTACATTACTTCCCCAGGATGTATTTATAATTTTGTTTCCAAGAGGCAGCTGTTTTATTGATAGCTAATATGGAATATATGATGATTATTCCAAAGCTTGCCAAAAATTTGTTTTAGGACTAACTATGGGAAAAGGATTTGGTAGTGTCAAAGGCTCTGCGGTTTCTGCCCAGCACTGCCTGCTGCTGATTGGTTGATTTGGAGCAACTTTGCCCTGCATTGATTTCAAATCTCTCCCTGCCCCATGCCCCCGACTCCCCTACAATGCAGATTGCCCGGCCTGAACAGTCTGTAACTGGCTGGGTTTGGCATAATGCAGACAGTGTCCCTGTGACAGCAGTCATCACAAACAAGGCCCGTTCAGAGCCCACTGAACCACCCTGGTAGAAGTCGGATTAATGAGTATATGCTTAAAACTGTTAACACTGCATCATCCCTTTACAAAGATTCTCTAGTTCAGACTGGTCCGCTCCCCATAATCACTAAGGCTTTACTTGTCTTTGCCTCCATAAAATGTAGGTGTGCTGTAAATTCTAGTGCAATTCTGCATTGCTTACATCCCAAAAGGGCCTTCCACTGCAGCAGTGAGCCCAAATGTGATCAGCTACCAGAACCACCTGTAGCTTCCACCACCACCCCCGCCCCCCGAACCATATTATGAACCTTCTCCATGCAGAGAATGGCTGCTCAGATGGCGGTGGGGGGGTGGGGGGCTGGTTATTGTTTCTTCTGAGCAAGTGGTGCATTCCTCAGGTGTACTGGGGCAGAAAGAATGTTGAGAACTTTTAAGCAGGGAAAGGGAAGTTGTATAAACAATACCATTTGAATAACCTATTGTCACTGTTATTATTCCTTCTTTACTCAGACACTTTGTGGGAATTTTGAACAAGACCTCTGGCCAAATGGAAGTATATGATGCTGAATTATTCAACATGCAGCCACTGTTTCCAGGTAGGTCCCAATCGAGGCTCAAAGAAATGCTGCATGTGTTGGTATGAGTTTTTTATTTTAAAACACGTTACAGTTATTTTTAAAAGGGTGCCTTTCTGTTTTGTTTTTTACTTGAACAAGTTTTTGGTTATCCTCATTGGAGGATATATTTTCCATTGATTTTTAGAGAGAGTAGAAGGGAAGGAGGGGAGGAGAGAGACATTGATGTGAGAGTGAACCTTTGATTGGCTGCCTCCCACACATGCCCCAATTGGGATTGAACCTGCCGTCTAGGTAGGTGCCAGAATTGAGCCGCCAACTTTTTGGATGATGCTCTTGAGTTCCAAAGCCCATCTGTGAGTTTCCTAGGAGACCATAGTCTCTAGGTTAAGAATTCCTTGCTTTGCAAACAAATGTAACTATATTTAAAATATCCAAATGCTCTTCTTTTAAGGACGCAAAGAAAGTTATTCATTAACTCGTTGATTAAACAAATCTTTATAAGAAAGAAATTTGCAAATAGTGGTTTATTATATCCAGCATATTGACCTGGGCAAGCCATTTCATATGGAGGCCTCATTTTTCCTTACTGAAGAGGCTGGACCGATTGGCTCCTTCATTGGACTCCTTAAATCTCCAAATTTTCTAAGTATACACTAAAGCTGAATATTCAATGTGCAGTATACGCTCATATTAAGTGAAATCTGGGAAGCCCTGGAGTAAAGAAATCTGTGTTTCTTAGATTAACTGTTAAACAAATGAATACCAAACACTATTGCTATCTGTGGTCCTTACAGTTTGCTTTCCCCCGTTTTTGTTTGTGTTTTGATAGATGAACCAGTTGAGAGTGAATTGACACGAGAAAGTGAGAGCAAAACTTTTAGAGAAAAGGTAAGTGTGATGGAACTAAAATGCGGGACGTTAAGCAAGTTCCTTGTAGGCCATGGGTAAGGATTTCTCCATCAGTAAAATGAGCCTGCTGAACGCAGGACTCCCTCACTGCTCCCAGCTCATTCCTTCTGGGTCGTCTGGACAGTTTCATACCTGCACAAGCCTCATCAGCCTCATAGGGAGAGTCCACCTATATGGGGCAGCTCTACACAGCTCTGTACCAATGTTCTGAAATGGTTCTCTGGCTGATAAGAGGTGTAGCATAACACATGTCCTTAAAGATTTAACACAAGTTTCAGAGAATATCAGTTGTAGCCTGGATATTTTCATATGAAAACAAAAGTAAACTTTAGGATTTTTCAATGTAGAATATTCCTACAAAGCTCATCTCACTGGCCAGGGCAAGTCTTTACATTTACAGATGAAGGCTGTTGATTTGTATGTGGCCCATTCCTATTTACAAAGCAAGCTCTTCAGATCTGTTGATATCATTTGATTCTTACAACAAGCCTATGTGGTAGGCAGCTATAATTCAGCCCACTTTATAGGCTCAGAGAGGCTGACACTTTCCCCATAGTCACATAGTGAGGAGTAGCAGTGCCTAGCCTGATCCCAGTAATCAAATTTGTCTCTTGCACAGATGGACTCTTGCATCGAAGCCTTTGGTACCACCAAACAGAAGCGGGCTCTGAACTCCAGGAGAATGAACAGAGTGGGCAATGAATCTTTAAATCGTGCAGTGGCGAAAGCCGCAGAGAGTATTATTGATACAAAGGGTGTGACTGGTAAGCATCTGGAATTTGGGGTAAGAATCTGCTCACAGCGACAGTTTTCCCTTCTCTTGAGACCTTTTACCCACCCCAATAGATGGAAGTGATGGGGGTTAGGGCTGGATTTCTTCCTGTCTCTCGCTGAGGGCCATTGTGGGAACCATCTTAGGAAGTACTAAGAAACATTTGACAAGTACTAAGAAACAGTGAGCTCACAGGCATGGAGACAGGCCAGGGAATGCATATGTGCACACTATTCCTTGGTGCCGGGGTTACAGCCTGCAGGGCCGAGGAGAGAGGGGGCTTCGAGTCTGTATTGGTCAGTAAGGCAGGTGTGATGGTGAACTGAGCCTCGGGAGACAGTGTTTCACTTTGGAGTCAACGGGTTTTTTTCTACTAAATTCCTTAGAAGCTTAAGAATTTAATTGTGTTATTTTAAAAATATCTTTGTTGTTCAAATGCATTATAAGAACATAAGAGAAAGTTTACATAAAAGCAGTTTTTCTATTAAAATGGAATTTTAGTAATTTTTAGAAAATCTTTCCATACCCTGTAATAGAAATATTTTCTATGTTTTTGTTCATACTTTCATAATTTTATTTTTGCATCTAAAGCTTAATGAAGAATAATTTTTTTGGCATATGGTACAGACCTAATTTTATGTTTTCCCATTGATTAGCTAGTCCCCAACTCCATCCTTTGTAAAAGAGAATTTTAATAGTCATGTTTAAAATTCTGAGTTGTGTTTTGTCCCAGCATTCCAGCAGGCCGATTATAGTGGCCTCCTCATCCCGTTTATTATCTGACAAGGCAGATTCATCCTCCTCCCACTTCTTATTTTTCACAAATGTCTTAGTTGCCAGAGCATGCTTTTTCTTCCACATAATCTTAAAGATTCTTTTGTCAAGTCCTTCGAAATACAGTTGGGATTAATATGGAGAGAATCAGCATCTTTACAATATTATATTTTCTCATCCAGGAATAGAGAAATATGTCTCTCTGTTCATTCATTCAAAGACATATTTTAACATCTAAGTAAATCTTGGAATATTTTTGTTCAGTTTACTTTCAGCTATTTTAGGACATTTAAAAAGAAAAATAATTCACCTATTTTCTCATCATTCTACCAGAACAACTGTTTTTCTCTCTGTCTTTGTCTTTATGCATAGTACTTAATTTTTACATGGTTATTTCTGTGTGGTAGTTAGTTTTAGAATTTGATTTTTTTTCAGAGTATTTAGAGAAATTTTCTGGAAGTTAAGCCATTAAAGACTAGTGTTGTTGTTTGTTTGTTTGTTTGTTTGTTTTACTATCCCTCGCTTTTAGTTTCTCATGTTGTATTGTAAATATTTATTAGCTCGCCTCTCTCCTGACTGTACTGCAAGTTACTTGAGGGGATACGATGTGGACGCACCTTCTGTAGGACCCAGTTCGGTTTGTGTCATGTGTGGACATCTTGGTGCTGGAGCTGTCAATGAGGTCTGGCCTCATTGGCGGGAGCATTCAGATTAAAGGCTTCCGGGCTGGTTATGATCCTGTGTGCACAGGTTGCAGAGCGTGTTGGGGAATCTGATGCTTAACAGGGTGGTACTCACACTGACTCTTCCTTTATCGAAAAGCTCTGGTCAATGATGCCCTCCACGATAACGTGCAAGATGACTCCCTCTGCCTTCCTCCCTGCCACGCGGATGCAGCCAAGCCTGAAGATGTGTATAAATTTGAAGACCGTATCCTCCTGGTGGAATTGATTCCTTATTGCCCAAGTTACCCTGTTTCCCCGAAAATAAGACAGTGTCTTATATTAATTTTTGCTCCCAAAGATGCACTAGGTCTTATTTTCAGGGGATGTTTTATCTTTCTATGCGCTAGGTCTTATTTTCAGAGGATGTCTTATTTTCGGGGAAACACGGTAGAATGTGCGCACATGATGGCACAGCCAGGCTTTCTGAGGGGTCTGGTCCCATGTCACTCACAGGAGCTACATCCTGACCTTTGCAGTTGCCCAGTGCTGTTGCTGGGATGTCAGCTATGCTTCCTGACTAGCTGAGGGTCCTGCTTCAAACCAGCTTCTCAGCCCCTGGGGTTCAGACCCATTCCTCAGCAAAATGCCGGACTTCCACAGCTCAGCCCTGTGGGCACCACTCTCTGTGAATGGTCCAAATAACACTTTAAGTCAGCCAACGCCCAAAGTCGAGGGCAGACAGATTTTTTAAAAGGAAGGGTTGAAATGTAAAATTCCCTACTTGTGAGTCCAATGAGATGGAAATGCCTACAGTGGCTTTGTGATGAGAAGGCAGAAAAGCCCAGACAAGGAATGAGGTCTGGGCTGGGAGTCAGAGAGCCGAGTCCCTGAGCTCTGCCCCGAGTGCTGTGTGATGTTCCCCTCTCCGCGCCTCAGCTTTCCCGTCTCTAAAATGAGGCCCCTAGAAGATGATCTGTCGAGTTAGATTTTCCATCTCGGTCAGATTGTGCTCTTGACCAGTAACTGGTTCTCTCCCCTGCGGAGTATGAAGCTCTCCGGAGCCCATCCGAAGCTTTCAGGAACGTCACTTCAGAAGAAATACTGAAGATGATCGAAGAGAACAGGTACTCTGACGTGGGCGGACGGAGTGTCTGAGGGAGTCATGTTGGGACACAGCAGTCGTCAGACATGAAGCAGACCTTTGGGTACCAGTCATTGAGGATCGCTGTCTGTTCAGCATTTGAACACAAACGAGCCAGTGTTTTCATACATGTTTGGGCTCCTAGACCTGCGGTCCCAAGGCTGTGGATGGCATTCAAGGGAGAGAGTTGGCCTCAAGTGCGTGGAACCTGCGGCTGGGCAGAGGGTGGCGAAGCCTTATAGTTGGGCCGGGAGTTCGAGATGGACTGTCCCCTGATGTCATGCTTGGCACTGACGGTCTCCGGGAGCCCACATGCTGGCTGAGCGTATGTGTGAGGGGCACCAGGTGTGAGGGCGCCTGCTGGTCTGATTGTGAGGGGTGAACGGCTCCTCACAGAGCCGTCTTACAGCACACATTCTCTCCTGCCCTCCCTTGTTTTAGCCACTGCTCCTTTGTCATAGAAGCGCTGAAGTCTTTGCCATCCAATGAGGAGAGCCGAGACCGCCAGGCCCGATGCATATGGTTTCTGGACACACTCATCAAGTTCCGAGCACAGAAAGTTATTAAGCGGAAAAGTGAGTCCATGTTAGACATTTGATTTTAGTTATTTCCAGTTCGCTATTAGCCTGTAATTCTTAGACCAGAAGAAAATGGGGATGTGGGTGTGTCGCAGTGAGATTCCTATTGGTACGACTGACATGCCGAGAGGACTCTCCAGGCTCTTTCTCATCTGCACATGGGACAGAACAGGTTATGTGATTGTTCAGAACTGACATTCACTTCTGTTCTGCACGAGGCAAAATATAGGATAAGTGAAATTGTAAGGGATTGTTAGACTCACATCAAAGAGGGTGAGAAGTCAGCCTTGCTCATGAAGGCTCGTGACTGGTCTGTGTTGTGTCAGCTTATTTCTGACTGGGACTGGGAGAGGAGAGCCAGTTTCTACCGGTAACCCCAGCGTCCCCTCCAGCCAGAGCCATGGCTGCCACATCCATCCATCCATCCATCCGGAGTCAGAAAGGCAGCGGGAGGCACCCGGGGTTTTAGGTACAAGGTGTGTGCAGTGTCATTACTGTGATTGGGCATCGGAGCGTCTGTTTTTCGGTACTTGGTTAAAAATAATTCTCATGTTCACATTCCAACGTCCCCTTTTTCTCTCCCTGAGCTTTTCCTACAATCTACTAACTTTTTTACATTTTATGAATTCTGCGTCTTTTGGCCTCATTTTTTCTTTCTTGTTATCATCCCTTCACAAATGTGTCTCGGGCAGTTTCATTTGACAGGAACACATTTTCATTGGAAAGTAGCCATTTTGTTTTGGGGGCCCTGCTTCTCCCAGCTCTTGGAGGACGTGTGGCCTGAAGGTTCCGACAGAAAATGACCAACATCTTTGTGTTGTAGGCGCCCTGGGACCTGGAATTCCACACGTCATCGCCACCAAACTGCTGAAGCGCTTCACCTGCGTGACCTACAACAATGGCAGGTCAGGGGGGGGCCTGTTTGGCTCGGCCTGTGAAGGAGAGCAGACTGGGAAGGGTTGGGAGAGGGGGGAGCAGGAGCTTGGCTGAAAGCTACATCCTCAGAGCTGCTGTGCTGAGGAGAGCACTGCCCTTTGGAGTGGCCTCAGGTCAGGTAGGTTTAGGAAACACTGCACAGGACATGCTCTCCTTCCCTCAGAGACGTTCACTTCCCCGGGGGATGTTCAGCAAAGAAGACTAACTTCACCTGACACACTCCTTTCAAGGAGCCTTTCTGAATGCCCCACAGAACTGGTGCTCTGTGGAAAGGCAGTGCTGCAGGAGAGCATAGGCCTTTGTGGTGATTTGTGGGAAGGATCCCCCAATAATGCACCTGGGTCTCCTTCTGGCAGTTTGCTGGGAATGTGTCCTGCTCTGAGTGCTTGGAAGAATCAGCAGCAGCTGAGCGTGGGTGACTACTTTCCTGGCAGCTCTGCTAAGCAGGCAAGCGGCTCTCACTGTGCTTGGGGCAGTAGGTGTGGCCTTCTCCGTCCCCCTTGGAGGGAGCGCAGGGATTGGTTCACTGTTCTCTGCGTGATGGCTTGAGCACCTTGAAGGACAAGGAGTTGCTTGAATTCATTTCTTCTCCCCAAGATTAATTACCTATGGGGATGGGTTTGGATGTTTTTATTTTGCTCTTGAAGAATCTTCTTCGAGTTTAATTTTTGGTCTCTTGTCATTGATTTTGCAGTTTACGCAACTTTATTTCCGATTCTATGAAGGCAAAGATCATTGCGTATGTGATCATACTCGCCTTGCATATAAACGACTTCCAGGTTGACCTGACAGTGTTACAGAGGGACCTGAAGCTCAGTGAGAAAAGGTGAGCACACAGAACAGAAAGCTCTTCAGGGTGCCTTGCAGTATTCCTAGTACAGCTGGAAAGCACGAGGCTCCAGCAGGAGAACTGGGGATGTTTAGTAGGGAAAAGACTTGGGACTAGAGGACAGTTGTCTAAGTGCTTGAATGACTGTAATAGATGAGGTCACACAACCCAGAGGGGAATTATTGGGCTTCACTATTGAGCCTTCCCATAGCACTCTGTCCCGTCTCCAAACACCTTTTTCTGGGAGAGTCTGTATGGTCCGTGGGGGGGGGGGGTTGGAGTCCGGGGGGGGGGGGGGGTTTACAAGAACCCAGTTTCATCTTTGCAAAAAGACCTTTCTCAGAGTCAGATGGAAGGGGCTGCCAGATGGTGGGGCCGCTGTTTGGCAGGGATGTCACACTGGGGCTGCTCTTCCTGGACTGGGAGAGTTGGCAGAGATGACCTTTCAGAAGGGATTCAAGCTGAGTAGGAACAAAATTCCCAGGATTCCGAATGATGGATCCTTTAGGGGCATCTGACACCCAAGCACCTGATGTTCAAGAGGCCTGTAAACCCGTTTGGGCCTAGCAGTCCACAGAGGGACTATTCCGAGGGCTGTCCGCCAGTGTGGCCTTCTCACAGGCAGTGATGGTGAAAATCAGAAGGTACTTAGAGGCTGTTTCGGCACACTTCTAGCAGGTGTTCCATCCTCGTTGTAGGGAGTAAACCAAGTTTATTAACAGGATCTAGATAGAGAACCTGGGTTGTAATCACCTGTAAGGATATTCTCTTGGCCACACATGAAAATGGAATTGCCTGTTTGAAGGCTCTCAGTGGATCTCATCCGCCTCTCCGGGGGGTCACTTTGGGGATTCTGTCTTCATAGCCTGGAGCACCAGCACGCCGCTCCCTTCCGCCCCCTCCCTGAGCAGTGACGTAGAGGAGACTCCATTTGTTTTGTGTGTGTGTTCCTCAGGATGCTGGAGATAGCAAGAGCCATGAGGCTGAAGATCTCCAAGAGGAAGGTGTCTCTGGCAGCCGGCAGGGAGGAGGAGCACCGGCTGGGCACTCTGAGCGTCCCGCTGCCTCCAGCCCAGACCTTGGACCGCCAGGCAAAGCGGAGGAGAATCACGTAGAGTGTGCTTTCCAGACGGAGAAGCTTGGCCACACAATAGCCTCTTCCTCTGTTCATTTCCATGTTTTTAAAAAGCGGGAGAAAGAAGCCTTGCTCTGGCATGGGTATGAAGCCACGAGCCAGCCTCTCGGTCATGCTTGTCTTAAGCAAAAACATAAAGTGACCGCCACATCGGACTTTGTCTCCCTCCGGTGTTGCTGTGATTATAAGTGGCAGACGGTTCTCGTGTCGGTTCGCATGTGGTGATGTGGAAGGTGGGGCTTGGGAAGCCAGAGCCAAAAGGTCTCAGAGAAAACTGATTGTACCACATCTTCTTAAGAAAGGAGTTTAGGACATGGGTAAGCTGTGACGTTGTTAAAGGGGTGCAGGATGGGAATCAGGAGGTTGCCCTCAGAACTGCTCAGTGCAGAGCACACTGCTGGCTTCCCATCCAGGCATCAGGAAACCACTTTGCCCCACAACTGAATTCACGAAGCTGTGACTGGACGTCCATGCTTTTATCCACCCCCTTGCTCGTCAGCACAAGTAACCAAAAGATCAAGAAGCTGGTTTCCATGTTGTTTCCTTCTCTGGGTGCTTATGTAGGAACCTAATTTGCATCTAGGTTCCTAGCAGCAGGGGAGTCTTGGAAATAGGTGTCAGCTCCCCAGCTTCTAGTTACAGGAAGGCATACCTGAAGGAGATGGGAATGGATTGAGACCACCAGCAGCCTGTCTGCCCCAGGGGAGATGGAGAAGCCAGTGTCCCAAGGGATGCTATGAGGAATGGGAGTGCGATATGGAGACTTGAGTGTGTTGCTAATATGCAGACTCGGATCGTCAAGTCTTTTCTGGGAGCAGCTGAGGTTTGTGGTGCTCAGTGCTGGGGAGCGAGGAGCAGGGAAGGCAGGCAGACAGAATTCATCTCTCTGGAAATGAGAAAGGAGGAAGTCTCTGCAGCAGCTGGGCCATCCATCGGGGAAGGTGGTGGAAGTGAGTCTTAGATGATTCACTTGACAGGTGGTCCTTATGTTTCTTCGAGCTCTGGGTGCTGTTATGAGAGCCCCTTCTGGAGCGAGGCCATGCCTACGTGTGTATTTTTCATGCTCTTCTCCGGTTTGTCTCATTCATGTCTGATCCAGGCAGTGGGCATTTGTAGCATCCGTTGTCTCCCACAGAGGTGTGAGCAGGAAATCTAAATGCCTCTTGTGTTTCCTGATCTAACCTGTTGTGAAAATCAAGTATGTGACTCTGCATTCCTGATCTGTCTCTGGGAAAAGAACTTATGCGCTTATGGGGTAGGATGTGTTTTCATGAATGTTTCTTAGATTCTGAGGGGCTGTCACTTGGAATTTCCAGGAATGTCTGGGTCACAGCGTGTGACCAGGCCTCTGAACCACCTCTGTCCCAGAGGACGCAGCCTGTCTTCGGTCACTCACGCAGAGCAGTGGTAGGACAGGGAAGAGTCGAGGATGGCAGGTACTCATCCTGGGTGACAGCAGGTGTACCTCACTAAATTAGGCGGTTCATTCCCAGAGGTTGAAAAGCACATTTCTGTACATAAGAGGCCTATGGGTTAAAAAGCTCAAGAGGGTCCTTGTTCAACTTGAACTAGTCTCCTGAAAGCAGCTAGCGCAGTGCCTGACGCAGGTAGTGTATGTTGAATGAGTCATAGTCCATGAAATTGCTCCTTCTTTCCTTGGCAGGGCTATTCCGAGGTAAACACTTGCAGAATAATGGAATCGTATTTATTTTTTTACTAGAGGCCCAGTGAATGAAAATTCATGCAGTGGAGGGGGGTTCCCTCAGCCCGGCCTGCCCACTCTCACAGTCTGGAAGCCCTCAGGCGGGAAGCGACACCCCATCACACCTCTGCCAGGCAGCGCAAGCTTCCACCCGGCCCTGGCTACCTGGGTCTCGGGCAGTCCTAGGCAGCTGGGCAGCCGCCATCCGAGGGTTGCCTGCTCCTCGGGCCAGCCCTGCGGGGCAGATGGGACTGGGGGACCCCGGAGGCAGGCACTCGGAGTCTGCAGACTGTCATGTGCCCACACTAGGGACAGCTACCGTTGATCTTCACAAAGCCCACAGCCAGGAGGCAGGGCCACAACACCCTCCATGACCGATGTTCCAGGACACAGACCTCGGAAACTGTAACTGCGGTGGGAACAAGCTGAAAGGACAGGGTGGCCTGGGATCCATTCCATCTCCTTCAGAGGAAACCTCAGGAGGCGAACAGTACAGGTCTGCACCCAGCTGCCTGGGAACTCCAGCATACACCCAACCAAGGAAAGTCTCCCAAATTGCCTCTCTTAAAATATAGAACTTTATTTTAGTTGCTGAGATTTTCATAAACGCTTGATTCACAGAAAAGTCATTTCTTACAAAATAATAAAGGCAGCATTTTGTACAGCGACTCACACTGGGGCAACCAGAGAAGTGCAAAGGACAGTGGGGACGGGAGGGGCCAGCGCTCTTGTGCGGAAAGTCCTCAAGAAGCCAGTGCTCCTGGCTCCCACCAGCCCCCTCCCACTCCCACTGGGGACCTGGAGAGCAGCACTGAGGGCCTGGCAAAAGTAGCCTGGAAAGCCACTGGTGAGGTGCACGACAGCGACCCCCACAGGCTAGTGAAGGCCTAGCATGAAAGGCCGAGTTCAAGTCCAGGGCTCCTGCATCCAACCCCCTTCCTCAAGCAGCCTGGGCAGGGTCTGAGCCCGCCCAGAACCTTGACACTCAATACAGCTCAGCGAAGCCCTTTGGCAACTGGCCTTCCTCTGCCCCCTCAGGCCACAGATCCTCCCCCAGACCTGGGCTTGGTGCGGGGAGCAAAGACAGTGAGATGGGACCCTCGCAGGCGAGTGGGACGGGTGGACCTGGATGACACCAGGCAGAAAGTGCTCCGTACCTGAGGGGGCCGGGAAAGGACAGGGTGGCTCAGCAGGAAGAGCACCGTCACCTGGAGGGAGGAGAGTGCTCTGTGGAGATGGCAGTGTCGGAGCTACACATGTATGGGTGGGGCCTGGACAGAGGGAGAAAGCATGCCAGGAAGGGGAGAGCATGAGCCAAGGCACATAAGGGTCAGCAAAGGCAGGTGGTTGTCCATGAGAACATGGACACCGACGAGGGGCCCGAGGCACCTGCACCCCCACCAGTCTGGTGCCCAGGAGGGGGCCGCTGGTGTGGCTGTGCTTGTGGGACGCGAGTCCTTGTGCAGCAGGCACCGAGCTAACGTCCTCCCGAGCTTGGGAGCTCCTGGAGGCTAGAGGGGAGCTGTGTGTCCTGCCCTGCCCAGCCTGGCACTGCAAGGAAGGAAGCCCCTCTTGTTCTGACATGTCCCGTGTCATCCCTAGATCAGCCTAAGAGGGGTGCCCTTTCCTAAGCCCCTCCTCCATCATAGGCCCATATTTAAGTATAAAACGATGTCCTTCAGGAAACCAAACTCAACTCCAGCCCTGGCAGGCAGCTGGGTGGGTGTGTGGTGTCCTGGAGGGACAGAGGGGGAGGGGAGGCCTGGGGCATCTGTCTCCACCTCAACTAGAATTACTTCTCTCGCTCGGGAGTGGATCTCTCCCCCAAGAGCCTGCTTGGTGTGTGTGAGACGCAGTTAGCTCCCTGTAACTCAAACAGGAAACCTGACCGCAGCTTCAGCACTGAGTCTCCTCAACTCCTCATAATCTACAGGAGCCGGAGAGACTGGAAACCCAAAGTCTGTTCCTTTTTTTTTTTTTTTTGAGAAACGCTCAGGTGCCTTCCTACTGATAGCGGAGGAGTTGAAGGGTTTTGGAGGTGCCTGGTCCTTGGTCCCCAGGAGGCCTGGCAGCCCGTTTCCCAGGGGCGTGGCGAAAGGATCCGGAGCCTTAGACTTGACACCTCTGCCACCCCGAAGGCCTCACCTCTTAGCTTGGCTGGCACTGGCGGCCTGAGCCCGGGAACAGGGTGTGGTCGTTGCTCCCAGAGTCTCTGGACCGCGCTCTAGCTGCCCACCTGTGGCTCTCCGTCCTCACAGGATAGTGCAGAAGATGCTGCGGTTGCTGTGGTACCCACCTTCCACACGGGCTGTGATCCTGGTCGCCATGGCGGTCACCTTCTGCCCACTGTGGGCTGCAGAAGGGCCTCGGAGTGAGTTTTCAAGGTGAGGGCGTGCTGGTGGGTTCATGAGCCGCCATGTATCAGACCTGAAGATGCAAAATGATAAGAGAGTCTAAGAGTGAAAACTTGTCTGAATGCCTGAAATCTTACCTCTGGCTCAAGCTCACTGGATGCAGGAGTTTAAATCTAGGTGTAGTTTTTGTCTCCCATGCTGGTGAGGCTAAAGGGCAGAAGTCCTGCATTCTAGTTCCAGGTGCGCCTTCTGCATGTGATCTTGGGCAAGTTCCCTTCAGCAGCCCCAACCTCCCCTCTTGATAAGGACCTGGAAAAGATCAGTGGCTTTTTCCCCTTTCATTTTCCCTTCTCCCCACCCCAGCTGGATAATCATGAAAATTGACAGAATCTCTATTTACAATCACCACAAACTAAAAACTACAGCTGATGAATGGAAAACCAGTAAATGTTATAGCCATACAATAGATCACAATTCAGCAAGAAAAAGAAGGAATGACAGAGGCGACACCATGGGCAAATCTAAGGACATTCGGCTGAGAAGACTCAAGATACTATATTCTGTATGATATCTGTATCTATATATCTATATCTATTTCTATGTTTTAAATCCTCATCCAAAGATATGTGTTTTTTTTTATGATAGCTTTTTTATTTTAATATATTTTATTGATTTTTTTTTTGCCCCCCTTCCTCCCTACCATACATACCGTCCCTCCCCAGAGTTTTATGTCCATTGGTTGTACTTATATGCATGTACACAAGTCCTTCGGTTGATCTATTACAAAGATATGTTTTTATTGATTTTTACAGAGCAGGGGGTGGGGGAAGAGAGAGAAGAAAACATTGATGTGAGAAAGAAATATCCGTTACCTCCTGAACATGCCCCTACTGGGAATTGAACCTGCAACCTGGGTATGTGCCCAGAGGCACCCCCTTTTCTGGACTTTATTTATTTATTTATTTATTTATTTATTTATTTATTTTATTTATTTATTTTATGTGTACAGGACAATGCTCCAACCAGCTGAGCCACCTGGTCAGGGCTAACTAGATTTTACTAAGGCTCCGAGATATTGAGTAACTTGCCCAAGGTCACGTAGCCAGTAACCGGCAGAGCTGAGATTTGAAATCACATTCCCCTTGCTATGAAAGCTTGTTTCCTCCCAGGGAGTCAAGTGCAGCTCCTCAGCCCAGGCCCTGATCTGGCCAGAGCTGGAAGCTGGCAGGACTGCAGGGAGCAAGGGCAACGGAACCACTGGGCCTGGCTTCTCGAGTGACCTCACTGAGGTTCTAGAAAGTTGGCTTAGGCACGTACTTTTTCTTGAAGACCAGGAACTTGTTGTTCTGCATGATGCATTCTCGGTTGTTTGAGATCTGCTGGAAGATGGTCTTGTTGGTCTTTCCCTGGAAGAAGATGTTCTCCTGCACCAGAGCCCTGGTGCGGCCCCGCACGGCGATGCCGTAGGCCCGGAATGAGTGGATCCGGTTCTTTATGACCTGGGGGAGGCAGGCAGCCTGTCACATGGGTAGGGTAAGTGTTTCTCCAGTTATAAAACGAGGTAAGAGCATGCTAGGTCGGTGAGCAGTGAGCCATGGGAGCTCAGGGAAGGGATATCGAGGCAAACAGGGCGGAGTATGGGAGGAGCAGGGAAGGCTTCCTGGAAGAGGTGATGGGTAAGCTGCAGGAGTTTATCAGACACAGACAAAGGCAGGGATGCTCTAGGAAGAAGGAAAAATGTGCAAAGGCCTGGCAGAGAGGGGAAGTGGTGCCAGAGGCCAAGGCCCGCCAGAATCCAACTGAGGTAACAGCTTCCACAGCTCAGACTCAAAGCCAAGGACGTCTTTACTGCTTGCCTAAGTCACTAGCCATGAAGCCACACAGCTGAAGAGGCCTTAGGATCATCACTCACATGGGCAGGGACTGGCTCAACTTTGAAAGCCTGGCACCGGCACAGCGCTTTGCATAAAAAGTAAGCTCAGGGCTCACTGTCCCACTGGGAGACAGAAAAGCAAAGGAACATTGACAAAGCACCGTGGGAAGTGCTCTCTGAGGTGGGAGTGGGAAGAAGCACCTTCGAGTCCAGAAAAGGGGTGCCTCCATAGCCTGGGGCGCAGGGAAGGCTTCCCTAAAAAAGCCACAGCCAAGCTGTAGGACTGAAAAAGGGGGGGAAGTGTCCCGGGTCCACAGGGAACAGTGTGTGCAAAGGCCCCGAGGCAAGACTTCCTTCCTCATTGAACACCTGCCATACCGCACACAGGGTCCCTGTGAGATTATTCTGTTAGCAGAAATCCAGAACAGCCCTGACCTTGACCTGGGGACCCACAAGCTACCCCAGGTGGCACCCTCACCCTAGCTTCCTGCTGGTAACTCTGATTCATCCCTCAGTTATATGTCCCCTCTTGTGTGAAGTCCCATCTTTGTCTTCCAGGCTGAGAAGGGCACACACACATGGGCACACACACACACATACACACACACACACACACTTACCTTAGTGTCGGACCTGGGCAGCAGCTGTAGCCCGCTGCCCCGATTGCCAATGATGTCATTTTCGATGACAACGGTGCTGTCACCCTTGGTGATGATGCCATGGCCTCTGTTGTCATAGATGCCATTGCCCCGGAGCTCCACCTTGCACTGGGCCTCGACCTTGACCCCACTCTGGCGGTTGCAGGAGATGCTGTTGTTAGCCACACGGGTGAGCTGGCCGCTCTGGGCTACGGTGATGCCTCTGTCCCCGTTAGCGTGGATCACGTTGGTGATGACGTGCAGCGCCTCGCTGCTCTGGATGTAGAGTCCTGAGGCTGCAGGTGGAGGGGTGGGGAGCAGAGAAAGCACAGGGTGGTCCCAGGTGAGCCCTGACAGCACCCGTCGGAAAAGCCTTCCTGGAGCTGTGCCCCTGGGGGAGAGGCAGGGAAGAAGAGACGGCATCACTCAGAACCAGCCTGTGGGAGCTGCAGCTTCCAAGCGGGCTGACACCCAGAGCGGGAGGAAACTTGGGAACGTGGAGAAAATGCTGTTCCTCCTGAAACGGGTCCCCGTTAAAGATGCCAGGGAAACAGGATGCAAAATCCCGCAGGCTCCGCTGGTCGTCCGGCCCAGGCCATCCTGTACTGAACGCCACCCACATCATAGTTCCAACGCCAGGAGCACCTCCTGTGATGGCGCCCTCACCACCATTCCAACTCCACACACCTCCCTGCTGGGAAGCTGTTGTGTTCTCTTTCCCATTCTGACCTGGCATCTGCCTCCCCACTGTTTGGAGAAATTTGTTTATATGGGAAATTCTATAATTTTTGAATTAAAAAAATTTACTAAACTAAGTAATGTGTGTCTAAAATGTGTTAGAAATCTTTGAAAGAAAATGCTGTTTGGGGTATTTGTAGGAAAAAAAAGCACAAACTGAGGGGGCTCAGAGCGGCCAATGTGGTCGGGAAGAGACAGCCTGGCAGATGGACCCCCTGGGACATCCAGCCACCACTAGGGCAGTGCAGGAGGGTGTGGGGAGCCTGACGATGGGATCACATGGGAGCAATTTGAACTGCGAGTTCAAATCTCTTGGTGGTGCCTGCAGAACAGCAAGTACAAATGAAGAGTTTGTGGATGTATGCAGCTTTCCCTGTCCTGCACAGATTGCCCTGACCTCTGCTACCCCCAGAGGAATGAGCTTCCGAGCCTGGTAACCTCTATTGTTTTTTTGTTTTTTATTCTTTATTGTTTAAAGTATTACATATGTCCCCTTTCCCCCTACTGACCTCTCCTCGACCATTCCTACCTTCTAGCACATGCCCTCACTCCCCTACTGTCTGTGTCCATGGGTTATGCTTACATGCAGGCACACAGGTCCTGTAGTTGCTCTCTTACCACCTCCCCCTCCTGCCTGCCTTCTGAGGTTGGATGGTCTGTTGAATGCTTTTAAGTGTTCACCTCTTTTTAACAAGCCTTCCTCCACTAGCCCTCAACATGATTCTGGTCATCAGCCCCGTTAGGAGTCCTGGGGTCAGTAAGTTTTTTGTTTTGTTTTGTTTTAATTCAATAAACATGAAATACCTACTATCATCATTTTTTATTAAATGAGTGATAACATAGATTTAAAACTTATTTTTCTATACAGCTAAGAAAAATCATTGCCAATTAAACCATGATATGCCATCAATTGAAAGACACATCTCATCAAAGATGCTAAAATGTGAAAAACGTGTCTCGGAATTGGTTAGCAATGTGCCTGCCAGGTGTGGGTTTGACACTGCAGGGGAGAGGGCACCCATGTGGGTGGGATTCCGACTTTGCCTCAAGTTCACAACCTATCAGAGTGATGAAACAGCGGAAACCAGCCCCTAACTAACACGTGCCGCTGGGGTGGGGAGGGCACGGTGCGAAGGAGGAAAGGATGCTGGTGAGTCCCCAGTGGCTCGGAGGTTCACGTTGTCTAGGCTGTGTGAACGGGAGGAAGGAAAGCAGCATGAACAAAGCCGGAGGCTGGGGGACAAGAAAGGATGGATTCAAGTCCGGGGACTGGGGTATCGGGTGAGCGGACAAAGGAAGCGGTCAGAGAGGCCGGAGGGCTGGAAGGGCCACTGAGGCGGAGAGACCTCGACGGCTGTGGATCGGGGCGGAGGGCGAGGGGACTCACCTCCGTTGTGATTGACGCTGTTGGACTCCACCAGCGCCACGGTGACGGGCTGGCGCAGCGGGTCCTCGTCCTTCTCCAGCTCCGGCTCCCAGAGGGCGGCATCCCCGTCCTCGCTGAAGTTCTCCTGGGCCCCGGGGAGCTCCCTGGCGCCCTCCTTCTGGCTGAACACCGCCACGCCGTACAGGCCGTTGTAGCTGACGTGGTTGCTGGTGACGTGGGGCAGGCTGGACGACATCATCCACACGCCACAGCCCTTGTTAGCTGGGACAGGAAAGCAGCCGGTCACCGACACCGAGCACAGGGTGACCGCCTCCAGCGTCTCCCCCAGAGGGGAAATAAGAAAGGCACCGGCCCGGGCCAGCGTCCCTGGTTTGCTAAAGGCCGGGACAGATCCCAGGCTCTGGCTGCAGGCTCCTCCTCCGTACGCGAGGGAAAGTGGCAGGAAGGTCTTTCAACTAGGATCGTTCTGTCGGGTGGAACGGTGTTCTGAGAAACGTCAAGGCCACGCTCCGGGTCAGAAGCACAGAAGCCCACAGTGACGGGGCCGAACGGGTCACAGAGTTCATCTAGCCCCACCCCTCCCTGAAGAGACAGAGGCGGCTTCGGTTTGAACTCCAGCCCTAGCACTTCCTAGCTCTGTGACCTGGAGTAGCTGATGGGACCTCTCTCTGCCTCAGGTTCCTTTAAAACGGAGTTAACTATCTCAGGAGGCAGACATGGGGATTAAATGCAATAATGCGTAGAAAGGGCTTTGCAGCGTTGGGTCTGAACACGTTAGCTGCTATCATGATCACACATCATCGAATGTACAGTTCAGAAAGACAAAGGCTTTAACCCAGTGGTCGGCAAACTCATTAGTCCACAGAGCCAAATATCAACAGTACGACGATGGAAATTTCTTTTGAGAGCCAAATTTTTTTAAACTTAAACTCCTTCTAACGCCACTTCTTCAAAACAGACTCGCCCAGGCCGTGGTATTATGTGGACGAGCCACCCTCAAGGGGCCAAAGAGCCGCATGTGGCTCGCGAGCCGCCGTGTGCCGACCAGGGCTTTCGCCCAAAGCCAGAGTAAGGGAGAACAGCTTGCTTCCTAGGATGATCCTATTTCTCCCCTATTATCTTCAGTCCTCTAGGTCACAGGAAATGATGCTCATGTATCCACGCCGAAGCGGCCCTGTCCTTACACAACACCGGGCTCCTGCCTTCTGCCGTTTAAAGGGAGACAAAGCTTCCTGCTTGGCTGACCCCACGGGATCGCTCTGGTTACACGGTGATTTGCCAGAGGCTCCTGGGTTCTGAGAGGGGCCGTGTAACGTGGCCTGAGATCAGTGCGGTCATTCAGTGCAGTGAAGCCCAGGAAAAGAAAGGTGACAGCTTCCTCGGACCCACAAAGGAGGGCCCTGGCTTCCTGCCTCCCAGGCAGGGCCGGGCCCCAGGCCCCTCCCCCGGAAGGGGCTCCTCACCGTAGATGGTGTTCCCTTCTATCAGCCCTCTGCCTTCGTCTCCCACGACCACGCCGTCCGAGTAGCCGAAGCAGATGAGGTTGCTCCTGAGCACGGGGACGCCCCCGCGGCGGATGTCCACGCCTCCCCACTGGTTCTCGCGGATCACGTTCTCTAGGGAGAGGCCAGCGCGAGCGTCAAGACCACAGGCCGCCTGCAACGCCGGCGGCGAGGACGTGGGCAGCTGAGAGGAGGGACAAGCTGGACCGGGAAGCTCGGGGCTTACCCAGGCAGCACCCCAAACCTTCCCTGGCGTCTCAGGGACGTGTTTGCTCTCTGCTTTCCCCAAGGCCAGCTCTGTGTCTGTCTGTGCTCCCCTGTGTTCATCAGTGGCCTTGGGAACTGATGACTAAGAATAACGGGCACTGGAGCCCCTGAGCCAGGCCAGGCAGGGGATGTCTGTCTGAGGGGGGGGGGGGGGGAGGGATTAGAGTAGGGGGAGAACACAGCCATTCCCTTACCAGTCAAAGGAGGTGCTAGCTTGTCCTCAGCCTCCGCTCTGACTGCAGCCGGGCTCTCCCACCCCTTCCCTGCCCAGAGTGGGCTGGAGAATCCCAGCCGGAGGGTGGTCCTGGACCATCTGCACCGGCACTGAGGCGGGCCAGACGCCCAGCCTGCTGGGACTAGAGTGCAATGGCTCACGAGACCCTGTGTGACTGGCCCCTTCCTGCCTCTATGACCCCGTCTCAAACCCTCACCCCTCATTCACCACCCTCCAGTCACACATGCGATCCCACAGGCGGCCCTGCATTGAATCCAGGCCTTTTCCCAGGGTCCTTCTCACCATCCAGGTTCTGGTTTACAAGCCCCCTCCTCAGAAAGGGCTGCCCTGACCACACAATCTAAACACCACAAAGTCCCTGTAGCTCCTTATTCCAACTATCTGTAGAGCACGAATCATCCTCAATAGGACTTTTTTTGCTTGCATATGTGTGCTTTTACTTATTTGCTTCCTCCTCCTAAAATGTCAGTTCCCGGATGGTGTCTGTGTGGTTCACTGCTGTGTCCCTGACTCCTGTCTGGAGAGCAGGGCTCTTGGGTATAGTCAGTGTACACCAGTATGTGTACAGGGGAGGTCTGGGCAGGCTTCCCTGAGGAAGTGGCACCCAGGCTGAGACCTGCAGGGTGAGGGGAAATGGGGATGGGTGTCCAGAGCAGGCAGGAGCCCGTACAAAAGCCAAGAGGAGTTCAGACTCATTGTGTGGCATATATGTTCCTGACCGCATGATGCCAGCCACCCAGTGAGATCCTGTGAGCACTGGGCCAGCGGCCCCGAGTTAGCCACTACTAGCAGGAGGCCAGTCTGTCCGGGCGAAGGACCGGGGGGGAGGAGTAGGGGGAGGAAGAAGAGGGGGAGGCAGAGCCCACTACCTGACTGGCCAGGCTCCAGCATCCCCACCTACCTGTGATGAGGCCTTTGCCATTCTCATTGACGGCTATGCCGGCTGCACGGCCCTTGAAAATGTGGTTCCCACTAAAATGTAAGGAGAACAAGACAGGTGAGGCCAGACCATGCCATGCGTCAAAGACAATGCCGACTCGCGGTGGCTGCCTTCTGTGGTGGGCTTCCCCAGATGGCTCAAGCCCCCGGCAGCACAGAGCTCTGCCTCCTGAAGTCCTAGAAGCCTGGCATTCAGCAATCTTCAGTCATCGCCGACTGGAACTACTCCGGGAGCCATGCCATGGAAGCACAAGGCTCCTGGTCTCTCTTGACTGGCATCCATATACAAACAACATTTATTTACTTTATAAAACATATTTTTATTGACTTCAGAGAGGAAGGGATAGGGGGAGAGAGAGAGAAACATCAATGATGAGAGAGAATCATTGATTGGCTGCCTCCTGCACGCTCCCAACCTGGGCATGTGACCTGACTATGAATCGAATCTTGACCTCCTGGTTCATGGGCCAATGCTGAACCACTGAACCACACCGGCCGGGGCCCAATGCCACCTTTTAACTTTTTATTTTTTTAAATATATTTTATTGATTTTTTTTTTTTTTTTATAGAGAGGAAGGGAGAGGAGAGAGAGCTAGAAACATTGATGAGAGAGAAACATTGATCAGCTGCCTCCTGCACTCCTCCTACTGGGGATGCGCCCGCAACCAAGGGACATACATGCCCTTGACCGGAATCAAACCTGGGACCCTTCAGTCTGCAGGAAGACACTCTATCCACTGAGCCAAACCGGTTAGGGCACCAATGCCACCTTTTTAATAAGGCCTTCCCACACATCCCCTCTCTGGGAGCTGTGCATGTACATACTTGTTGCTATGGCACAAATAGCAGAATGGCTCATGCCCTCTCCTGATACTGTGATAGTGTTCATCCCAGTCCGTCCCGCATGACGGCCGGGAGGGCAGATCCATGGTCCCTTCCACCTACAGCGCCCACCCTGACTGACCGCGACGTGCTTTCATGCTGAGGTCACAGGTAGCCTCCGAATCCTAACACAGCGTCCCTGTGGCCACTATCCACTGACCCGAGCTAACATCTCTTCCGGGCACGTATGTCTCCCAGACGAGAGTAAGCTCCCGGTCTGGCCCTTGATACCTGTTATCATTATAATGTAGAAGTGCTCAGTAATACTTGACTAGAAGGGCTGCAGGGTTAACTGAAACACAAAATGGCTGTGTTATGGTGGGTGTCTGGGCGCAGTCTCTTCTGTGCTCGCGTCTGTACAGCTGCTTTAGGAAACAAAAAACATTCTCAAACGGGGGAAAGACGGGAGAAGGGAAACAGCGGTGAGGAAAGGAAGGAAGAAGGGACCTTGATGGGCAGGACGATCCGGGGACAGCAGCACCTACCTCACCACTGGGTTTCCGTGGTACAGGATGTAAATGCCGGCCTCCTTATTGGAAAAGATCTGATTGTTCCGGATGACGCCTTTCCCATTGCCAAGGACGACAATGCCTGAGCGAAGGCCGTGGTGGATCTGGTTACACTGCAAGTAACAGGAGACGCCACGAAGGACAGATCAGACAGGGCCAGCTGAGGCAGAGTGCTCCCCACCCCACAGCGAGCCAGGACGCATTCAGCGGGGAAAGCACGGTCCCCGGAGGAGCCCCTGCACAGGACAAAGTGCACGAGCCCCGCTGCCCTGCACGGGGGCAGGGGCACGCGTGGACCCGATCAGGCAGACCCTGAAGACAGGAGTCTCCAGTCCCTCGCCGGCCCTACGGCTGGGGGCTCTTGCTCTTGGCCGGCAGGCACACTCCTGGAACTTTCTGAGCTCCCGCACACAATCGCCTGGCAATGCCACACTTCCCAGGGCCAGGGGGGCCTACCTTCAGGAACGGCTCTGGGAGCTTAGCTATCCCATGGGGCGTGAGGTCAGAGGTGTGTGAGCTACAAGGAACCTTGGAGACATCATTCTAATTCCTCCTCCAAAAGGGCAACAGGCCCAAGGTCATACGTTTGTGGCAGAGCCAGATTTGAAATCTAGGTGTGTTTTGTTTTTTTTTTTCTGTCTCCCAGGCAGTCAGTTGCTTTTGCCCAGTGACACCATTTTTAGATTATAATAAGTTATAATACAATGGTTTCACTCCAACTGTTCATTTACAGCCCCGAACACAATCCCATACTGAAACCAGGAAGTTAGCTGTTTCTCTTTCACAGAACATTCTGGTTTGCTCTCAAGTGTTCCATGCTGCTACCTCTTCTATTCTTACTCACTTTTCAGACTTTCTCCTAACAGGCTGGGCCGACGCACCAGGGCAACTACAGCCTAACAGATGTCCCCCAGGGTGGAGAGCTCGGAGAGAGAGGGTATGCAGTCACATTTCCATCCACACCCTTTCACAATGCCCAGGACTGATCAGTAATACCCCCTTCCCATTTCCACCCACTAACTGGAAAGGCAACCTCATCTCTCTGGCAGCAGCGCCCTGGTCTTGTGTCCAGCACCAGCTGCAGAGCAAAAACAGCGAGAGAAAGAAGACACAGCCAGGCATGTCACTTTAACTAGTTAGGATGTTCCTTTCTCTGCATGTCCAGAGCAGCTTAGATATAATGGGTTGAGAACATCAACCCTGAACCAGCCTGCCTGGATTCAAACCCCAGCTCCGTCCATCACTGGTTGTGTGGTTTGGGAAAAGATCCTCAGCCTCTTTGTGTCTCGATGTCTCATCTACAGAATGGGGATAATAATTCTACCCCACAGGGCTGTGTAAAGATTAAATCATAATTATATACAAAGTTCTTAGAATAACCTGGCATATACCAACCACTAACAGAAGGGTGGGTATTATTTTTCCAGGTCCATAAAAAGTCCGTCACATTTCCCTGTTTCTCGGAAGCCTGTCTCGGGAAGGCAAGGGTAGAAAAGGGGCTGGTCTCTCAAGTCGCTAGTCTCATGGGCTAAGATTTTAATTAATTTATTTATTTATTAAGTTATTTATTTATTTACAGAGATGAAGGGAGAGGGATAGAGCGTTAGAAACATCAATGAAAGAGAAACTTCGACCAGCTGCCTCCTGCACACCCCCTACTGGAGATATGCCCACAACCAAAGCACATGCCCGTGACCGGAATCGAACTCGGGACTTCTCAGTCCGCAGGCCAACGCTCTATCCACGGAGCCAAACCAGTCAGGGCTAGGCTAGGATTTTAAGTGGCTTTCACACCGGTGCCAAACCAAAAACTCACAATATCCACGAAACAAATAACCTTCAGAACGAAATCTCCTTTTTATAGCAAAGAATGAACTCGCGTGGTGCTTTATTCCCGATCCACGTGATTTTTGGGGCAGGCACCGTCCTCTTTAATTCTTACCAAAGTCAAAAGCCAGCGAGAGCCTATCCATCAGGGCCCTGGGGTTTCCCCCTGTGGCCGGACCTCTTTCTTACTGACGGGGAGCCGGCAGGGAAAGGCCAGGGAGGCCTTGCGCACAGAAAGCACTAAGAGGGCGACGCGGCTGTGAACATCCCCAGAGATCGTTTCTGAGCAGCCAGAGCCCCCCGAAGAGGGGCAGGCAGAGGGGAGTACCAGGACGAGCGGGTTGGACCGCTTCCGGATGTCCACGCCGGCCTCCGCGTTGTGGTAGATGTTGTTGCCGGCGATCAGGCCTCCGCCCTCCAGGCGGAGAAAGATGCCCGACGCTTTGCAGCGGTGGATGTCGTTCCGCAGCATGACGATCTAAGCAGGGGAGAGAAAGCCATTTGTTTTCCTGTCACAGAGGATTAAAAAAGAAAAAGAAAAAAAAAAATCACTCAGGGGCACCGAGCCTCCTCCTCCGGAGTCTGGCCTGTGCTGTGCGACCTGCCGGCGAGAGGAGCGCCCGGCGGTCAGCACGGCCCCTCTCCGACCGTGCGCGCCCCTCCGGCCGCCCCTGCTCCGGCCTCACACCGGTTCTTCCACGAAACCTCATCAGAGCCACAGCGTTCGGGCGGGATAACTGGATGGCGGGATGGCAAAGACCCTGAGAGAAGATGGGGCTCGGGGGTCCTCACGCTCAACGTGCGTTGGGCTTGCACAAAGATTCCCTCATGGGTCCAAGGACACAGCTACGAATGGAATCAAGTTCCAGATCGACCACTTCCTACCCGCCCTGGCACACATCCCCCTGCCTGAGAAAGCTGAGCGTACGGCTCTTCTCTGGATCAGGCCTCGCTTCCTGGGCACAGGGATCAGCTCAGAAAGCCCTGCATGGCTGCCCACAGCCCCCTGCTTGAATTAATGCCACTTCGCATCTAATTATGCTCAGGATACACCATGGATATATTTATGTATTTTATCCTTTGACTATACATATTTATAGTAAAAAAAACTATCCAATTTTCAGGTTCCTGTCCAGAGACTCACAAGCTGCATACTTCATTCCATGGCTGCCCAATTCCTGCAAAAAGTCCTGAGGCCATAGTTCAGCAGGGCTACCACTAGGGCTCTATCATGATGGAAAATGGAAGAAAAAAAAAAAAAATAAGCTATTCCTCCCCGCAAATCAGATGACGGAGAGAAGGCAAGTGTGTTATAAGTTTAAGAAAAATACGATTTAAAAAAAAAAAAAAAAATGCCAGCCCCATCCAAGCCTTCCCCCCGCATATCGCCTCGAGAGACTTCTCATCCATCAATCATGTCCCGGTGACCCGTGGGGCCGCGGGGTGCTGCAGAGGAAGCCGTAGGGCAGCACCTTGCTGTTGTGTATGCACCGCACGGCGTAGGTCAGGTTCCGGAAGACGTTCCCTTCCATCTTGGCCCGGCCGTAGGAGCACACGAAGACGCCCCCCTTGCCGTCCCGGAAGAGGCACTTGCGGATGAGGCAGCCCTGCACGGAGCTGGCCAGGGCCATGGCCTCCTTGTCCTTCTGCAGCTCCTGCTGCAGCGAGTTCAGCACGAGGCAGCTGGGCAGCTGGATGGAGGCTCCGGGCAGAGGCGGGCCCAGGAAGGAGCCGCCCAGGACGGGGCGCGGGCCCTGCACCTGGTAGGACAGCCGGTACATGAGCTGGTCCTCCTCCTCCTCCTCCTTCTCTTCCTCCTCACCGCTGGGACTCAGGCCCCCATTGCTGCTGTCCGGGGTCTGGGCCAGCCTCTCCCCGTCACTGCCCACCTCCGCCTCCTGGGAGCCGGCCTTGGAGCCTGGCTTCGGGGAGCTGGCGACGGGGCTGGTCGGGCTCTGGCTGCCCTCGATGACGATGTCGCAGGTCCTCGGGCTCCAGGCCTGGTCCCTGCTCTCCAGGTCCAGGGACATGAGGAAGTCAGAGTCCTCGGTGGGGAGCACGCTGGGGGAGGACTTGACGAGCCCCAGGAGGTACTTGTGGGCCCAGTTCTTGTCGGCGGACGGGTGGCCCTCCACGGTCACGGACGTGTTCTCGCTGCCCACAAACTCGCAGTTCTCCAGCACGCACAGGGGCACGTTGTGCAGGAAGACGTGGGTGTTTCTGAAGGTGCAGAACTTCACTTGGCAGGTGCCCGGACCGTGCACCTGGATGTGCCCGTTTTCGAAGTTGCAGTTGTCAAACTGGACGTGGCCTGAGGTTGTCTGGGGAATGAAGAAGAGAACGTGAAGACAACAGGGATGAGATCTGCGTAGCGGGTCAGCGCTCTGGCTGCTCGTTACGGAGGGTGGGGCATGGAGAGCCATGCGCCCTGCTGATCGTGCCCCCTTCCCCACGAGGGCATGTGCCAGCGGATGCCAAGAGGGACCTGGGAGCCGCTCTGCACCAGAGGGAAGACAGATACTTTGGAGTTGCCTGCCCTTCCCTCCCTCCGATCCCAAAGGAACGGGGACACGAGTGGAAACGGACGCTAGCGGAAACGTTCGCCTAGATTAGGAGCACCGACTCTGGAACCTATCTCAGTCCCTTCATAAATCTGAGACCCGGTTATGTCACTTAATCTTGGTGAGCCTCTGTTTGCTCATCTATAAACCAGATACTACAACAACCCATCTTAACAACAATGGCTAAAAAACATATGCCCAGCCACAGTGAGCGCATCACAAATGACTGTTGGGATGATGATCATTCCAAACCTGAGAGGACGATTTAGCGGTCCTTGGTAGTAAAGTGGCAATATAACGTTTGTTGACAAGGTACCTAATCCAGGGATTGGAATTAGTTTCTAGGCAATGGAAAACCCGCAGACTCTCTGCCAGGAGCTACCTGCACCTCCGTACAGGCTTTGATGTGAACACAACTTCTGCTCTGTGTCCCTGGGAGGAAAGTTTCGGGACTGATATGTCCTGACCCTCTCCAGGCACCCCTGGTAAAAACCTGGCCTCCCTTGGCCCTCCACAGCGTGGGGCAGATGCACCGAAGGTCACTGTCCCTCCACCCCCACCCCGGGCTCCCTCTGGGCACGCTGCCAAAGTGTTCTCCGCTTTCTGCCACCAACGGGCACGCTCCAGGAACCCGGATTTCCTACCTCGTTGCTCCCCCTGTGGCTTCGGTTGACCCAGTGTGGAAGGGGAAGAAGTACAAAACAAGTTCGAGCTCAAGTCCAAGGCGCTCATGTTTAATACAGCTTTGCCAGGAACAAAGCAGCATGTTCATCTCTACTGATCCTGGGCCTACTTCTCAACTGGAGCAGAACTCGGAGGAGTGTGCTAGAGCAGTAACAATTAAACTCTCCATTCCAACAACAACAACAAAAGGGGGTGGGGGATTACAAGTCCCCTGAGAAGAGGCCACGCTCGGGGCCCAGGGTTGGAGAGGCCATCCTCCGAGGTGGGCACCCACCTTGAACATGAAGGGCGAGAACCAGGCTGGCATGAAGACGAGGTTGCACAGGCGCGCGGTGGAGCAGTGCTGGTCGATGCTGGCGAGCAGGGCCACCTCCCCCAGCTTCCCGTGGCCCACGATCTCCACGGGCACCTTCAGGGCGGTCTCGCCTTGCTCCTCGTACACGCCCGGGAACAGCACGATGCGGTCGTACAGGCTGGCCACGGCCAAGGCGCCGCCCAGGCTGTCGAACTCCTGGCCCGGCCCCACGCGCAGGGTCCGGCGCTCCCTCCGCCGGCGAAACAGAGAGAAGCAGACGGAGGACTCCAGGTCCAGGGCGTTCTTGGTCCACGTCTTGGAGGCGAGGTGGTGCTGCTTGAACGCCTCCCTCCAGGACTCGGGCTCCACGTCGGGCTGGTTGGGCCAGTTGGGGTGGCGGCACTCGGTGCAGCCCAGGCACAGCTGCCGCCAGCGGGTGCTGTCGAGGCTGAGGACCAGCTCGTACCAGGCCCGGCACACCAGGCTGCAGCGGCCCAGGTCCGGGAGGTGCAGGTGGGCCAAGACCATGCGCCACAGCTCCAGGGGGAGCCCGCCGGTCTCCATGGTCACCTGGGGAGACAGACACAGGACAACAGGCTTTTGCTGACTCTGCTTGAAGTCTCCTTCCTTCCTATTTTTTTTTTTTTTTTTTAATAATCCTCACCTGAGGAGTGAGGCTATTTCTCCATCGATACCTCGGAGAGAGTGGAAGGGAGTGTGGAGGTCTCCCTTCTTAAAATACCCCTTTGGTTGCGGGCACATCCCCGGTAGGGGGTGTGCAAGAGGCAGCTGATTGATGATTCTCTCTCATCGATATTTCTAACTCTCTATCCCTCTCTCTTCCTCTCTGTAAAATATCAATAAAATATATATTTTAAAATACCCCTGCCTTCTTCTGGCCCTAGCGGTGAGCGAGGGAGCAAGGCCCAGCCAATCACAGGACTCCACCCCCTCAATCAGAAAGCTTCTCTGGGATTTTTCTACCTGGAAGACTCTTTTCTCTCTGCTCAGACAGGGGTATGGGTATGACGCCGGGACCAGTGGCAGCCCCACACCCCACAGTGCAGAGATCAGAGATGAACGATTCAAATCGGGGGGCGGGGGGGGGAAGTGAGTACATATGTTCATGTCCTGGAGGGACGGGTTCCAGATTCCTGTGGGAGCCCTGGAGTCTTCTGCTCTCCCATCAGTCCTGTGAGGACTCGGTGGCCTTCCAGTGGGCCTTGTGCTTAGGCTGGTTTGATCTGGGTTTCTGAGCCGGGTGACTATGTTTGCACTAATACAGAGGGAACCTGCCTTTGGCTGGGACGACGGCTCCAGAGCTCAGGATCCCTGCACGCCCAGAGCAGGGCCTCTATGTCTTCACACCGACAGGAATGAGGGCGGAGGCAGTGAGTGTCCACGTGACTGTCCCTCCTCATAACCTGATTGAGTGATTACCACTGCTCCCCGCGTGAGGCAGCCTCCGGAAAGGCTGTGGCTGGATCAGAGGCTGAGGGTCTTGGTCCTGGCTCTGCCACTGGTGATGTTCTGATGGAACCCAGGTGTCCTAAACATCTGCTGGGCCGGCTGCACAGCCATCGGCCCCCTCACTTTTATCTGGAAACTATTCTTCCTCCCTCCAGCAACGTGTATCCATGGACACAGAGGCAGGGCTCCCGAAGCCATGAGCGTTCAAATACGCTACCCCAGGCCCTTGGCTGCAACGGACGGGACTCTGGATGACTCCACCTTCTCCAGGGGAACAGGAGCTGAAATTCTAGAACCAGGCTGACTTCCTGAGTGGAGGGGAATGGGTCACTTCTTTCCTAAGCTATACACACAGGAACAGTTGCTGGTGAACATTTTTTTATGGGAGGGGGAGGGAATGGTGCACAAGAAGCTGGACTAAAATGAGAGAAGAACAAATCGTAGACAGAAAAAAAGCAGAGAGAGGGTGGAAACAAAGGGCATTCTAGTCATGGCTCCAGGCTATCCTCAAAGCTCAGCTTTATCCTCGCCTTTTGAATTCCATCAGCGACCTTTGTACTCTTATAATAAATGTTCCTTTTTTGCTTTAGCTGGCTTCATTGAATTTTTGTTGTTTATAACGACTTCAAGCCCTTTCATTTGTGAGGGTTCGTTTCTCTACCTGAAAACAAGGGATTGTGTGAGTGCAACTTTCAAGTCTGAAACCCTATCAAGCCTCTAGCCAACTAGAAACCGAAACTTAGAAGCAGGGCACGACTGACTTTAATCTCTTTATTAACCTCTCAGGGCCTCCTCTCAACTTTGTGGAAACGATGATCGATGATCGTACTTGCCAGCTATTTAAGCCCCAGGAAGGCTAGAAGCACAGGTGTATGATTATGCCTGGGAGAAATTCTGAGCTTCCTCACGACCATGTTGCTTTAATGCTAAAGGTTAGTATTACAGCCTACGTATGTGGGCTTTTCGCTAATGATCGCCCGGTGAAACGTGACGAAGTCTCAGGGGCCCTGGAGGAGAGCTGGTCTCTGGGTTGGTAAGCATCACAGATACAGAGAAAAGAGGCTCCTGGCAGCTGTCTCCCCCCGGTGAATGCCATTTATTCAAGGCGGTTTCTGTGATGGTGAAGGCTCCAGTTCCTCACCTACTTCTCTAGCTATGTCTGCTTCTGGTTCTTTAAAAAGAAAAATGTTCTTCTCCTTCTCTAACCATTCTGTAGTTAAGTGAACACATTCATTCTCTAGGCATCCCCCCTTCCCCAATAGATTGTTTACAGAGAGAAAGGGAGAAGGATAGAGAGTTAGAAACATTGATGAGAAACATCAATCAGCTGCCTCCTGCAAACCTCCTATTGGGGATGTGCTCGCAACCAAGGTACATGCCCTTGACCAGAATCGAACCTGGAACCCTTCAGTCCGTTGGAACCCTCCAACGCTCTATCCGCTGAGCCACACCATTCTCTTGGCTTTAACTCCCACCGAATCTGTGACTACAGAATCTGAAATCTCCCGTCCTGACTGTCGCCACACATGAACACCCAATTGCCTGTTGGGCAAATTCTACTTCAACGTTCCATAGATACTAACACCTCAGCAGCGTATCCCAAACTGAACCTCCACTTCAGGCCTTGACAGAACAACTGGGAGTGGATTCGTTCTTCTGCCGTGAACAAGTATAGAGCGTCAGCCTGTGGACTGAAAGGTCCCAGGTTCGATTCCGTCAAGGGCATGTACCTTGGTTGCGGGCATATCCCCAGTAGGGGGTGTGCAAGAGGCAGTTGATCAATGACTCTCTCTCATCGATGTTTCTAACTCTCTATCCCTCTCTCTTCCTCTCTATAAAAAATCAATAAAAATATATATATTTTAAAAAAAGAATAAACTCAAATTGGAAGAATAAAAGCAAGTCTGATGGGACCCACTAGCATCTTAACTGCCTGCTAGAATAAAACTTAATACTCTGGGGAAAAAAAAAAAAAAAAAAAAAAGGACAACATATTCTAGACTTCCTCAAGAAGTCAACAACAGGACAGTGTGGTACCGGCCTAAGAAAAATAGAATCCAGACCCTCGCTGAGCTGAGGAGGATTTCCTTTCATGCAAATGTCACATCCCCCCTTGTTACATTTGGCTTTATTTACTACAGTTTTACACAAATCCATGGGGATCCAGGCGGCTACAGGGATTTCTATAACCAAGTAACACTTTTTTTTTTTTTTTTTAATGTGTTCAAGCTTCGTCCTTCCTTTTTGCCACTGGGGCCTGAGCTATGGAATTAACAGTCACGAAGGTCCCCCAGGGTCTGTGCACCTGCAGCGTGAGACCTGCAGAGAAGGAAAAACAACAGTGCCTCGTGTGAGACGGAGAAAGCATGTCCGAGGTGGGCCTTATGCTGCTCCTTTACTTACATGTTCCCAAGAGGGTGAGCACTCGGGGTGTCTGTGAGGCCCCTCCTAACAGCCCAGGGGAGGCATCCACATGCTTCCAGGTCACCTGCTGTTCGCAGCCTTAGTAGGCGAGACAGAGGCCACCCTCTTGGGAGGCGAGTCCCACAAGACGTGGCTCTCAACGAGCAGGCTCTCCTGCGTCCCAGCCCTGAGACTTCAGGCAAAGCCTTAACCCCTCTGAGCCAGATGCCTCCTCTGTAAACAGGCCAATGACGGCAGTCCTGCTATTCCTCAGGAGGGTGCTGAGAATTTCCAAAGGAAAAAAAGTCATTTATTCAACAAATATTAGTTGACAGTCAACTGTTGTGCTAGGTCACCGCTCCAAGTTCTGACAAGCAGTAAACAGGACACAGTCCCAGCCTTCAGAGACAGACAATAACTTTTAAAAATAACGTAGCTGTAAAGAGAAATAAAGCAGGTTGAGTGCGTCTGTGTGCATGCACACGTGTGCTATTTCAGATGGGGTTGTTAAGCAAGGTCTCTGAGGAAGTGACATTTAAACAGAGACCGGAATGACACTTAAAGCCTTGGGATGGGTTGAGATCACTGGAGAGAGTGGAGAGAGAGAGGTCTGCTGACCAAGTCCCCGCCAGCCTGCCCGATGGAAGGCGGGAACTAAGAAGGATTTGCTCAGAAGAAACTGTACAGTGAACTCCTCTGTACAGAAGTCTAGTCAACATAAACGAGGGCTTTGGAAGTAAGCTTTGCTTTGTTTTCATTCTAGACTCCCAATGCCTCTGAGAAGGTGGGTTCTACGGGCCATTTAGTTTGCTGAGCATCATGATGGGTAGGCAAGTCAGGAATAAAATCTCTAGTGACATCCATCTAGCTCACCAATACTTTTGTCTGAGTGGATCTGTGGGTTAGTGAAGGAGACACGAGGAAGTACCATGTCACTCCTAGGGACTGTCCATGTGAAAAGTGAGACAGCGTACACAGGTGCAGAGTGGCAGGTGACACTGCGCCTGGACGCCTAACACGAGGAAACACTATGATGAGTCAGACACATCCTCTGCTCTCAAGGAGCTTTTCATTTTTTTAAAGTATTACATTTTTTTAAAATATATATTTTATTGATTTTTTTACAGAGAGTAAGGGAGAGAGATAGAGAGTTAGAAACGTCGATGAGAGAGAAACATCGAGCAGCCGCCTCTTGCACACCCCCACCGGGGATGTGCCCACAACCAATGTACATGCCCTTGACCGGAATCGAACCCAGGACCTTTCAGTCCACAGACCAATGCTCTACCACTGAACCAAACCGGTTTCGGCAAGCTTTTCATTTTATATGTAACTAGTGGCACGATGCATGGATTCATGCACATTGAAAGGAAATTAATTAGAAGAAATATTTTAATATCGCTATTCATCCTTTCTCTATAATAGAAGTATCAGAGGTAAAAGAAAATAGTAAAATGTATATGAAAATAATATATACATTGATTAATAAACAATAACATGACATAACAATAAAGACATGATATAAAATCAACAGACATGATATAAAAACAACATTGATACAAAGAATGACTGATAAATTTATTTAAACTTATTCTAATATCTTCCTGTATACCACATTAAGAGTAAAAACACTTTCAGAGTGCTTGACTAATTTCCCTTGTGATGAAGTATTTACAACTTTAACATCATATGCTTTT